TTTACCATAATGTCACTGTTCAACACTACTCTAGTCTATGCGTATTTGTCATAGTAAGAGGACATTATTAAAATATTTTAACCTGAATTGAATACATTTTGTAAAATCCTTTTCTTTCTATTCATATGTAAATAATAAATCATCATGAAGATGATGAAAATTCATGCGATTCAAAGTTAGTAAAAATGTTATCTGATTTAGTTAAAAGGTTATATTAAAAGAAATTCCTCTTTTTAAATCCATTTTGTATCGTTTGCTTGAATTTACCTGTTGATGTTTGGGACTGCGATTATAGCATATGTATATACTGTGCACATTGCCTCGATAATGCTTTAAATCGCAAGCATTGTAGTAGCTAACAGTGTTATCCAGGACACGCATTTCGTCCTATTTGGGACTGGTCAGCTGAATGTACTTACATCTCAGAATTGATGTTCACTCCAACACTCGAACCTGATACCGTTTGCTCCAAACGCTATGGCGTTATCCACTTAGCTATTGAGTAATGATAGCCGCATGCTTGTCAAATGGGGTAAAGTTTAAATTCACTTGATATTGTTAACTCAAATCATCCTATTGATGCTTAGGACTGCAATTGATCAGTCCCTTATTTATTCAAACACTAACTCGACTTTTCTGTGCTTGATTTTCAAGTCTTTTCACTGATTTATAAATAAGTAAAACCACACAGAATTAGTGTCATTATGTTTCTACTATAACTATTTTTCAGGTTCACGTAGTAGACAAATAATACTTAAAACTATGATTTATGAATAAGTAATCCCTGGTATATTTTCTTTTATCTTAATACAAGAAGGTATAAACGATTAGAAGTTTAGGATTTATTTTAAAATCTTCAAGAATTCATACTTTAGAGTTTTAAAATATACTTTTAATCAGACCTTTTCTATTGAAAACTTTTGATATAAAAGCATAATGAAATGAAAGATCAATCGATATTTTCGCGTTGCGTTGAAAGGGAAGTAATATTGAACAAAAATGACAATGAGCAGAAGAATGTGAATTTGACTTTTTCATCCTATTATATCACCAATTAACTATCTCCCCTCATCCTCACCAGATAAAACGTAAACAGAAATAACCTTTCACCAGATAGTTGAATTCATAATACTTATTATGTTTAGTGATTATTATTCAACTTTGCGCTCTTATAAAAATGTTGATGATTGTTTTTTCTTTTGGTAGCTGCTAGCCAGACGTCTTTGTAGATGATTATCTTGAAATTTACACATTTTGTTTCACAGGTCAGTCAGTCACCTACAACGTAGGACCAGGCACAAATATGCATCGGTCCAAGTTGCCATACCTCATCAGCACAACAAGATGAACACCAAATTCATAGAAGTAGTTAATTTACTGGTGGCATTATATAAAAAAAGGCTGTATATAAGGATATAATACAGGAAGAAAAACAGATATGAAGCAATTTTAATCTCAAGGTTTAAGAAAAGTGTTTCACAGGTAATCTTAGCGTAATCATATGTCTCAAATTACTGTTTAGGTATTACTTCTTTACGTACACATTTCACCCCTCATAGAGAAGCGTAGGCCACCCACCAACATCCTTCGTCGATTTCTTTCCTGGACAACCCTTTCTAATTGTTTGCTGTTGATCTATAATGAGCAGTAGCTAAAGAGGTTATGCCTAAAAGGTCTTATCATATTTGAAAATATATGTGATATCCTAATTTTATAATAACTGTAACAATAATGCTAAAAAGTCTATTTGTCTAACACTAATAATGATACATCGGATTTTTACCATAGCTTCCTAACAATGAAGCATATAAAAAAAAGAAATAGTTGTACTATAACATTCTTAACTTTGTTACATAATAAAAATATTTCATTCACAGGATAACTGCAAATCATTTCAGATATAATGTAATCATAAAGTTGATAGCAAAAAGTTAACATTTTTACAATTTGACTAAATTATAAGCAAAGATGGATAATGACTAGCAGTGGAATTCAGTATCTGAGTGGATAACGCGATGGCGTTTAAAGTGAAAGGTACTGGGTTCGAGTCCCCAAGTGAACATCAACTCTGAGATTCAGGTACATTCAGCTGACTGATTTCACTGCTAACCACTAACCACCTTTGTTTATAGTGCTTGTGAATTCAGGCAATATGGAGACAATACGCACAGTATGCACATATAGCCAATAAGAGACTGACCAGTTACAGTCCTAAACATCAGTCAGAAGATTTAAACAAACAATATTAAGTGAACTTGACTAAATTATGTTATCAATTTAACAATCAACTTAATCTCAATACAGTAATTGAACAAAAGATATTCAGGCAAATGAAAACGTAGACTATTTCTTAGAAAAGGTATAAATATCTAATTTTTTCGGAGAATCACCTACTGATATTAATAACTATTGTATACGTTGTATAATACATAGTTTCATCCAAGAAAAATTGAATTTTTTTCCCTACTCGAACACGTAATTCACGACAACTTCTTCAATGCGCTAATGTCTTTTCTTTTATTCGTTGTAAAATGAAAAATTATCTACCATTTCATAAAGTAAACTGTCAATGTTTTTTTAACATATTAATAAGTTTAAACGAATGAAAAAAATTTAGTGTCGAACATCTCTGAATGTAATTCTTTGTACTTGGTGTACAGTACTTTGTTATATCGTTTTTCAATTGTTATACATATATTTATGTATGATTAATTATATGAAAGATAAATTTATTATCTCTCACAGTATAAAATTTCTTTTTGAATATCATTTGTCATTTATTGTATATTGAAGGAGTCAAATATACGCATTATGACTATCATAATAGTATCCTTGTCCATTTTAAGACGTATGAGTATAGGAGAGAAAGACAGTCAAAGAGATAACGAGAATTGTGTATTAACTCACATGAAATAAGTTTTCTTTAGGTCATATTACTTGACCACAATATTATTTTATAGAAAATACTACCATTGCATTACGTTAATAACTTATCGAATTATTCAGTAAAACCGTGTACTTTCAACTGGATAGCTGAATCATTAGCCATTAATTCTCTTCCTTAACAATTTTGTTAAAAAGAGTTTAGTTGAAACACTTTATTTGAAATATAAATCATTTCTTTCAGTTTATCATCGTAGCAAGTTCTTTTGTTAGTAGACAGTAACATGTAAACTGCTCATTTTTTATGAATTAATCCAAGTCAGGATGCTACGTCAATTAATGACAGATAAAAAAACATCAACTAATTTTCCAGTGGAATAAAAAGTAACTAACTAAAAGTAATAACAAACACTAAAAATAATGATATGTCATGTATGCTTTACCAAATCCAAGAAGGAGGCAAAAGGAGCGTCATATCCATAAAAATATTTTTTTTACACTGTGGTCACTACTTTAGCTAAGAAAAGCTGTGTAAATTAACCAAATAAAGAAAACATTTGAAAAGAATGATGGTGTGATTTAGGTAACATTCACACCATAGAGCCACAAAGCACTAGAGAGAACAATTGAAATAAAACTACTAAATATAAAAATGAGAGATATAAACAGTTTACCAGTCACTGATTCAAATCATTAACAAACATCTTTTAGCGTGTGGTTATTGGTAAGAATTAAAATCAACGAAAAATTCCGTCTTACTTTTTTAAAGATTCATATTATGAAGGGATCAATGTTAGACCACCTGGAAACACTAGATGGCCATCTCGTCCTAGTATGGGACTCCTGAATAGTGCTCACCCATAATCCTACATGTGAGGCTTAGACTCAGGGCCTTTGGTCTCCCGCGTGAACATTTGACCTCTAGGCCACTAGCCGGCATCCAGTCTAACTTTAACCAATCCATGATATTGAGCGAACACATCATTGTCTTTATTGAGTAACTGCCTCACAACAGACATAGATTGAAATTCACTGGTCACGGCTTCTCACTAGAGCTCCACGAAATTCTTCTTGATGTTCAATCGACAATAATTTAAGGATGCTAGCATCTATACCCGGCGGGGTCGTGGACAGGCACTGCTGAAATATTTCATACCAGAATGAAATAGTTGTTCTCTACTTCTTGCTTTTTAGTGATTAGTTGTCAAAAGTCAATCCGTAATCTGAAGTACAAGATTTAACAATCTCGATGATTTCCTTTCACTAATAACAGTCACCAATAAATCAACTTACACCAATACTGTAGCTAATAGTTTTTAAAAAAACCATCTATTAAAATAACATCGTACAAAAGAAACTTGGTTTTACAGAATTATGATGACGGTAATAGTTTAAATTAAATTACCAAGTGTTGATACCATGTTTACAATAAAATTCATCTAACCATGTTGTTTAAAATGGTCATAAGAGTTTAAACAACCAAATTCTCCTTGCTTTTCCTAGTTTAAAGTAAACAAGGACCATTAATTTCCCTTGTATTCAACAGTACCCACTTTCATTGAAGGGGTTTTAATCAATTTGTTTAATTAGTGGTGTTTCTACCTCAAAATATCTTCTTCCTATTCGTTTGGATACAAACAATAAATCTGACAGAAAATCTTCTAAAAATACGACGACTGAACACCGGTTCGGTACTTTTTCACTTATAATATCTAATTTTTTGGTTTTTTTTTATTTTTTGAAGAAAATTTCTAAATTAAAATAAATTTTATATTCGGATAAAGATAATTATTATGATAAAAAGATTTAAAAAATAGTAATGGTAATAGTAATAATTGTTTGCAAGCGACAAAATACAAGCCATTAATTATGAGAGTGTATCAAACATTCTTTTTAGTAGTCTGGTCTATGGTCCTGTTTGTCTTCTCTAACTAAAGAAGTTCAAATCAGACTATAAGAAGTCGATTTTTAAAACCTTATTTAGTTTAAATGGTCAAGTGCTTTTACAAACAGCGATATATATATATATATAGTTTTATTAGGATTATTAAGGTAGATGCCACTTTCGGATCTGGAATGTTTAGTATTCACGGAATAAACGAGTGGTATACCCAGTGATGTCATCAATTGGTAAAGTAAATATTACAAGTTTTTCACTATTCTCACTTTCTAACAGTGAATATGTTATATGAAAGAATTATTTTGTATATTTCTGAAGAATTGCGATGTAATTCATTACAGTTGTTATGATGTAATTGAACAGTTGTAGTCAGGATTATTTTTTGTCACGTTATTACCTAATTTACGATAACTAATTGCTACATTAAATTTTAAACCAAAGTACAGTGCGGTAGATATTCATGTACAAACAGTAAGTTTTCTTAGTTGAAATCTTCTGTCAATTCTTTTTTAAAATGAAGAAATACGCATTTGATTCCAATAGCCTTCATAGTTTGACATGTATTCAAATATATAGATTCAGATATCAAGAACTGCATTCAAAATATTCTGGTTTACTTGTTATAAATTGAATAACTATTTTATGTCTCTAAATAGAGCTTACCTGGGACCAATACAATAAATTCATTATTATAATGATCCTAATAAGCTTTTGTTACATTTGGAAGTTACTCTGTGGGTGGGCCTATTAAATCAAAATAAATGATGCTTTTATTTCAATTAGTAGGAAATGTTTGCTTTCCAGAGACCACAACAATAAAATGACTAATGATGTTGAATTTACCCCAGACCTATATATTTGCAAATTCGTTCTATAGAATTTGATTGCCATTAAATTTTAGATAAAACAATGCTTGTTACAAATACTGGTGTGTAATTGATTTATCATACATTTTCTGGTATTTTGTCTTTTTTATTTTTTACCTCAAATGAATAGTTTCTTAGTATGAAAATTGAATATCTACTCAGTTAACTAAGATAATCATAACCTATATAACTCAACAAAGCTTTCCTATAACTATTGTTTAGACATGTTTATATCTTCGTATACTCAAGAAGAATATCACATTCGCCTATAAACCATTTGTAATTAATATGCAACATCTTGATTTATTCTTTCTGATGTTTTTCTATCAACGTTAAGTACTAATTAATTTGCAAGATAAAAGAATAATTATGTCATCCTCTTGAGAGATTCCAAACCGGTATTTTGAACAACCACTATAAATCTGTAAGCATCAGATAGTCATTTGGTGCTAGTATGGAATTCGTCAGTAGTACATATCCATGATTCCGCCATCTGGTATCTAACTTGAACGAAACGGCCGTTCAGTCCTTCAAGGTTTTTAGTGGTTATCTAACTTAGATTAGCTCGTGATCTCTCAAGAAAATCCATTAATCTCTGTAACCTCCATACCGAAAATCTTGTTCTGACTAATGGATGGGTATGAAATGAATTTTCTAAGTTCAGTGATCTCTATTATATCGAGAGAAAGGCGATACCTCATATACGACATTGAACAAGGAGAGCTCTATATGACAAGGTGTCCGAAGTTAAATATGTGAACTGCTTAACTAAGACTTATAATCACTTGATATTCATTACTGGAAAGTCAGAAAATAGAATGTAATATCTGTAAAGTTTTTTCAAAAGATCTTAGATGCCTATCAGATTATGGTAAGCATTATACTTAAAAAGGAGATTTATTAGCCTCATAGTTACACATGTCATCAAAATTGAGGAAGACGGGAATCCATATAAAACTGTAGGATTCTATCAAATGCTTTCGGTATTGCATAATTCACTTTAGATACTTTTGGTAATCATTAGTGGTAAATAGTTAAGCTTTTGGCACAATGATGTATTCCATACCATGTGTTTAATTATGAAAGATGTTTTGTATCCATTAATTTCAACGTAATCGACTTCTTCAAATAGTCGAAAAAGATATATATATATATATCACTGTGGTGGTTCTTACTGAAGTTTATAGTAATTATTTTCATGATAACTGGTAAAGCTAATGGAAGTGCGTAAATAAATTATGTAGTCGAAATGTACAACTTGATAGTCTAAGAGAATCTAAGCAAGAAACTAATTTTTGCAGTAGTTGTATATTAAGAAACTGAATCTCTCATATAATTCAACAGAAATCCAGTTCAATGTTGTTGGTATCATCTGTATGTAGTAAAACTTAAAGTAGACAAAAACTATCAACTGAATATTTGACGTTTTACGTCATGTCCTGTTATGAGAAGTACATGAAATACCAAAAAGTGACTAAATAACCGAATGGTAAACTTATATATTCAGTAAATTTAACGAAGCAGCTTTAAAATAACATTTAATTCTCCTAAATTTAATTTAACCATAAAAGTATAACCTCACATTAGAAAATCATTACAACTGTATTTAATTTTTTTAAATTGCCGAATTTATCAGACACAAATATACATCACATTAGAAACAAGCAGTGAAACATTATAAAATTGGACATAATGTTATATGTCGTCATTTTATAGACACATAATTGCAGATGATTTGACAATGAATTTATTGTATATAACTATATTCATATTCACTTTTAGAGGATCTTTTTAACAGTTGAATTTATGAGTCGATTTAAGCTAGACCACCACTGAAAAACTGGAAGCACTGGATGGCCATTTCATCTTAGTATGGGACTCCTGAGCAGTACGCACCCATGGTTCTTCACGCGGGGTTCGAACTCCGAACATTCGCTCTCATGCGCAAACGTTTAACCTATATACCATTAGCGGGTATCCAACAATGTTAGTGTCTAACGTCAATATGGACTAATTTTATAGGATCATTTAGTAATGGAATGTCATTATTCAAAGTATAATCAAGGCGGCTGATAAATTGTGTTTCAAATTTCAGGATTGGTTAAACTAGATATTTTAATCCATACCAGAAGTGTGACTGATACGATGATGTGATAACCGGTCTGCATCTTGTCTTCAGGTGGATATGACACCTTTCATAGAGAGTTTTAAACTCACTCAGTAAGAAAAGTGTTGAAATTAACTAAAAATGTAAACAACAATGAAAACAAAAGTCGTATGGTCTCGGAGAAAAATTTAGCTATACTGTTTGATCTGAAATCTCAGTTATTATCCAAATGACCGGTTTAATTTTTAGTGTAAAGTCATTATTTTAACTGATTTTCTGTGCTTTTCTAATACTCAATATGGTTTAAATTGACCGAATTCAACTCTGATTTCTCAATTGGTTTAAAAAACTGAGATCATCAGTGCTGTTTCCCTGATGATAATATATGACCTCGCATTAAGAATTCTTATCTTAATAATGTCTATTGTTTAGCGTTTTTTAATTTCAATTTTCAACGATTCGTCTATTTCAACTGTTTGTCATAAGTTATTTGTTCCTAATTGAGCAAAACGTTTTCTGTAATTTAAAATGCCTTGAAAGTCATGACACAGATGCTGACTAGTTGCATAACTGAATTTATTTTAATGAATATCAAAATGCGTGCAAATGTTTCGTTGTAGACTTCGTTTCTTTATATTTAAAAATGAATATTAATTGACAAATCATTGCTAATGAAAGTAATCATATCATAATTCACTGTATAGAAATAAATAGTTGGGTATAATAATGTATTATCATAGAACATTTTCTATACTATACAAGATAATTCTATTATAGTAGGTACCTGAAGATAGTCATAAGGGAACCCTGGACACAGATTTGAACTAATTAGGAATAGGTAATAAGACGTGCTTGTAATATTAAGTGAACTGTTGAACGCTGCAGAAATCGAACGTGTCTCACTTAGGTATATATATATATATATATATATATATATATATATATATATATATATATATAATTTAAAAACACGTAAACGTGACCAGAGGATTACCATGTGAATGTTACTTTCCTGGCAGATTTTCATATTTTAAACGTGACTCTAGAATGAACTAGTTTATTGTCACTGTTTTAATGATATGGGGTTTGCAAGGTACACAAAAAATATTGTTAACTTGTAAGCGAAATATCATTATCATTAAAAATAATTCTAGTGTTCGTAGTAGTGGCAACAGTAACCACATCTTTATATTAACATCGGCTTATGTTTAAACAAACATTGCAGAGAGTGTAAAAGAGGCCTTGAAAGTAATATAATATTTTTCTGAATTTTAACGATCACGTAGTGTTATTTTGAATGTGTTGACTAGAAATACGATTACAATAAATTTTGAGTGAAACTTTAGTAAAAAAATGGTCTTCAAATTAGGGGTGACTATTTTGGGATAGCTTATTGATACCTAGAAAACTGAATCGACATATTCCCTGCATTCGCATTGAATTCTGAACACACAAATTAAGTTTAATAAAGATGTGTTATCAGGTTATTAAACTCCGCCTGTAGCTCCTCCAGGGGCTACTGCCGGTCCCAAGCCCGGGTAAAGGAGGAGGGTTGGGCATGGGGTTAAAGACCCCATCCCGTAGAAAATCAACTCGCTAAAAAAACGCTAACCAGAAAAATTCATTCAAACCATTCAAACTCTGCCCTGGGAGTAGAAGGAAAAATGACGTCTCATGATGAAAGCCGAGTTCCTTCGGAAGTCATGAGGCCGATGCACCTTCTTACAACCAGAGCGACAATTTTTATAGGTACATGGAATGTCCGGACAATGTGGGAGACCGGCAGAGTCCTCCAAATTTCTGCGGAAATGAGGAAATACAACCTCGAAGTGCTTGGAATCAGTGAAACACATTGGACGCAGGTTGGACAACAACGACTGTCTTCAGGGGAACTTCTGTTATACTCCGGTCATGAAGAAGAAAATGCCCCACATACACAAGGAGTGGCACTGATGCTGTCCAGAAAAGCACAAAATGCACTTATAGGATGGGAATCTCATGGACCGAGGATCATCAAAGCCTCCTTCATAACAAAGAGAGAGGGCATTACAATGAACGTCATCCAATGCTATGCGCCGACCAACGACTACGATGAAGACGCTAAAAACCAATTCTACGATAGGCTGCAGTCAATCTTTTAGAAGTGCCCAACCAAGGACCTGACCATTCTAATGGGAGATTTCAATGCCAAGGTTGGAAAGGACAACACTGGATACGAAGACGTCATGGGACAACATGGACTGGGAGGAAGGAACGAAAACGGTGAGAGATTTGCAAACCTATGTGCCTTCAATAAACTGGTCATAGGTGGCACCATATTCCCACACAAAAACATACACAAAGCCACTTGGATTTCACCGGATCACACTACACAGAATCAAATCGACCATGTCTGCATCAACAAAAAGTTCAGGAGGACGATGGAGGATGTGAGAACCAGGAGAGGAGCTGATATAGCATCCGATCATCATTTGCTGGTCGCCAAGATGAAACTAAAACTCAAGAAGCACTGGACAATGGCGCGGACAACATCACAAAAGTTTAACACGGCCTTTCTTCGAGATGGTGACAAACTCAACGAATTTAACATAGCCCTCAGCAACAGGTTCCAGGCCTTTCATAACCTACTCAATGAAGAGGGAACCACCATAGAGAGCGCTGGAAAGGTATCAAGGAGGCAATCGTTTCAACATGTCAGGAGGTTCTGGGCCACAAGAAGCACCATCACAAGGAATGGATCACTGTTGGTACACTGGATAAAATTGAAGCAAGGAGGAACAAGAAGGTAGCAATCAACACCAGCCGAACCAGAGCGGAAAAAGCCAAGGCACAAGCCGAATACACAGAAGCAAACAAGCAAGTGAAGAGGAGCATCAGGACCGACCGACGTAAATATGTGGAAGATTTAGCGATGACAGCGGAAAAGGCTGCAAGAGAGGGAAACATGAGACAACTGTATGATACAACAAAGAAACTTGCTGGAGATTACCGTAAACCAGAAAGACCAGTGAAAAGCAACCAAGACAAAGTAATCAACGATATTGAAGAACAACGAAACAGGTGGGTAGAACAATTCAAAGAACTCTTGAATCGACCAGCTCCACTGAACCCACCCAACATCGAAGCAGCACCCACAGACCTCCCAATCGATATTGGCCCACCAACAATTGAAGAGATCAGCATGGCCATTAGACAAATCAAGAGTGGCAAAGCACCGGGACCAGACAACATCCCGGCAGAGGCACTGAAAGCAAATGTAACAGCAACTGCCAAGATACTCCACATCCTCTTCGGTAAGATTTGGGACGAAGAACATGTACCAACAGACTGGAAAGAAGGACTTCTCATCAAGATACCAAAGAAAGGCGATCTGAGCAAGTGCGACAACTACAAAGGCATCACTCTCCTCTCAATACCAGGAAAAGTCTTCAATAGAGTATTGTTAAACAGGATGAAGGATTCCGTGGACGCTCAACTTCGAGATCAACAAGCTGGATTTCGTAAGGATAGATCGTGCACAGATCAAATCGCAACTCTACGTATCATTGTGGAACAATCAATCGAATGGAATTCATCACTGTACATCAACTTCATCGACTACGAGAAGGCATTTGATAGCGTGGACAGGACGACACTATGGAAGCTTCTTCGACACTACGGTGTGCCTGAGAAGATAGTCAACATCATACGGAACTCCTATGATGGACTAAACTTCCAAATCGTCCACGGAGGACAACTCACCGACTCGTTCGAGGTAAAGACCGGTGTTAGGCAAGGTTGCCTACTCTCACCCTTTCTCTTTCTCCTGGTGATCGACTGGATTATGAAGACGTCAACATCTGGAGGAATGCACGGGATACAGTGGACAGGCAGGATGCAGCTTGACGATTTAGACTTCGCGGATGATCTGGCTCTTCTATCACAAACGCAACAACAAATGCAGGAGAAAACGACCAGTGTAGCAGCAGCCTCAGCAGCAGTAGGTCTCAATATAAACAAAGGGAAAAGCAAGACTCTCCGATACAATACAATATGCACCAATCAAATTACACTTGACGGAGAAGCTTTGGAGGATGTGGAAATCTTTACATATCTGGGCAGCATCATTGATGAACACGGTGGATCAGATGCAGATGTGAGGGCGAGGATCGGCAAAGCAAGAGCAGCATACCTACAGCTGAAAAACATCTGGAGCTCAAAACAATTGTCAACCAACACCAAGGTTAGAATTTTCAATACAAATGTCAAGACAGTTCTTCTGTATGGGGCAGAGACGTGGAGAACTACGAAAGCCATTATCCAGAAGATACAAGTGTTTATTAACAGCTGTCTACGCAAGATACTTCGGATCCGATGGCCAGACACTATCAGCAACAAGTTACTGTGGGAGAGAACAAACCAGATTCCAGCGGAGGAAGAAATCAGGAAGAAGCGCTGGAAGTGGATTGGGCACACTTTGAGGAAATCACCCAATTGTATCACAAGACAAGCCCTCACATGGAATCCTGAAGGTCGAAGGAGAAGAGGAAGACCAAAGAACACATTACGCCGAGAAATAGAGACAGACATGAGAAGAATGAACAAGAACTGGAAAGAACTAGAAAAGAAGGCCCAGGACAGAGTGGGTTGGAGAATACTGGTCGGCGGCCTATGCTCCATTGGGAGTAACAGGCGAAAGTAAGTAAGTAAGTAAATCAGGTTATTAATCCAAATTCATTTCTTTTCAATCAGTTAGTCTATTAGTCAGGTTCGAAAATAACATGATGTTTCTACGATTTTGTGAGCCTTGACTATTCACTGTGAACTGTTACAATTCAATGACTTGAAAAATCTAGATACTGAAATAACACTGATTAGAATGTATAAGATTACGTAATAAGAATTGTACAGATAGTTGGTCCATGAAACGTATATTTGAAAAAAGAGGAGGGAATGAAGAAAAATAAACGAACTAAGAGTATGGAAAATAATAAATAAAATCTTTTATTGAGGCTAATTCTGCCAAGGAAGAGATAAAGGTGTTAACAATTTCTTATGAATACAAAAATCTAGATTCTTAGCTGGAATTCCCACAGCTTCTGTTATGTGTAAGACAAGATCGGACCCCTTAAGGAAAACTTCTAGGAACACGATAAATCACCTCAAATGATCTATTTCTATCTACTGCATGATTGCTATCGATTAAGTGTGATAGGACAGAGCTACGTATTGTTTTGACGGTACCCTTTACTAACCACGAAGAGAGGTGTTCACCAGCTGGTTGACTCATTTGTTTTGTTGTTTGTCCAATGTAGCTTTCTCCGCAGGAGAAGGTGGATTCGTAGATACACATAGATGTGACAGACCCGATCTATGGTGACTTTTCAACCAAAAGATAAGTTACCTGGTTCCGTATTGATTGTTTTAATAATTTCGTATATGCATATAAATATTACCGTATATTAAAGTAAGGCCTGGTGAGGATGTAGTTGAAAACAATATTGTTCGCTTATATATGTTGTTCGAATAACTAAAAAGAAAGCAGCATCACTAAGGTCTTTTTAGCAGTGACAAAATAATTTTTATACCCAGATGAAGGAAGAGCCGATGATCAAACCCACAGCCAGTACAACCAGCTCAGAAAACTAAAAATATCATTGCTGAACTATTGCTCTTTAAATTATTTTTACAGTAGAAGTTTGTAAACTCACAACAAATGTGGTTTGTGCGTTGATATCACTACACAGTATCAAGTAAAATCGAACTCTTACATCATTACCATTTACAATAATAACTTCATCTTGTTATTAGGACGATTCACGATAGTCTCCTATAAATTGAGCCTGTATTGTTACTTAAATGAAGTAATTTGTATTGCATTAAGTTAAATACAATACAGTATAGAAGTGTTAGTTCAAAAGATCGATCATATATTAGTCTATTATCTTCATATCAGAATGTCTGATTTAGTTTCAAGTTACCAATTGTACAGAAAGAAATCCTCAAACATTTAAATCAAATTTCACTAAGAAAAACAACATTAATGAAGGTACTATCCTTTAGGTTACTCTATTCAATGGAGTATATCTTTTAGGGTAATTTAAAAGGAATATTGCGACGTAATATTGGAATAAATTAATCTTCACTAGTCTATTTTGTGAGAGAAACCTACTCAGAATATTAGTTTAAGATTAACTTCATTAAAATTTAATTTAGTTGAAATAGGAATCCAATTCATTGTTCTCTTTTAAATTACATTCAATAGACCCCTAGTTAATTATTTTAATTTATTGAATCCAAGTTATTTTGATTAACAACTGAAGATACATAATTTAATCAGAAATTGTTAAAAATGCTCTTCATTAAATGGAAAAGGTTTTATTAGAATCCGGTAATCGATATTATCAAAAACGAGTTGATTGAAAAAAAGAATAAAATAATCAATATTGATAATGGTAAACAACTGGATGATAATGATAAACAAACTGATGTAAGTTGATATGGGACAAAGTACATTATCAATAAAATACTGATGAATAACATTTATTTAATTATTATAAGTATTATTATTATAAGTATACTCCCATTTCATTTACAGAATAAATCCAATATTATTTTTAATCAATTGTACATTGATAGAGTTCAAACTTTAATAATTTTATATATATATTACTGTATTCTATCTGTAATCCACCTTTGAACACAATAAGACTGATTGTGCATTCTGAATCCTGTTATAATACAATGTAAGTTCATTGATAAGTAAATTACAATATTTCAATTCACTTTGTTATTTTATGTTAAACTTATATTTGTTCATGATTGTGTAACGACATATAAGTAACAATGGTCTTGTTTAAACTAATATCAGGTCAATCATATATGACTCGAATTGGTGGAAAATCTAGATCTAATTGTACCAGTTACTAGTGATAACCAATATTTTGTCACATAAAAGCCATAGAACACCGTGTCACATTATCAAATGAATGATTCGTATGTAACTAACTCCGAAATATTTGTATAATATGGCCAGTCATATCTTAATATAACAATACAAAGTACTTAGAAATAGATATGATCAGTATTTTTTGTTATTTACAAAGATTAGCTAGGATAAGCAACTGATGTAGGCGAAGTTTTGTTTTTGAATGTGCATCGTAATTGTCTTTACGAATATCGGCTATCTGGTAACTAACTAAACATTACAGTTTGTTCTTTCTCAGTATTTAGGGAGTAACCTATTTTTACATTTTGTTTTGAAATTTAAGTAGATAATGTGATTATTTTCCTAGCTGAGTATTTCACCAAATCTGTTGTTGACTGACGAAGTTAAATTTGTAAATAATATTATGATATTCAAAACAAAAACATATATTAAGGAAGCTCATATACCCAGACACTAATCAATCGTATCGATTTATTAAATAAATAAAACACCGAAAAAAATAAACTTATCTAATCATTTATTGTTTATTGTTTAAATGGTAATAGTGTTAAGCAGTCTAGTTGATAATCTTGTCATATTTGAATTCATAGGTAATATTGCTAAGGTCATTATTAAATTATCAATCGCTTCACAAAACTTTATACTAAATACTTCCAGTTTATTTGATCTTAGAGACTTACAATTGATTGATCATTAAGTAGTGACCAATGTCATTTGTGTTAGGTCCTTCTTAGTGCAGATCCAACTACCACTTTAGATCTTAAAGATTTATCAGATTATCTTAAGATTAGTTTCGATAACTTATTAATCTTTTGGACCATATATATATATATATATATAATTCAAAAGTATCGAAATTAATAACACAGACTTCGGGGTGCTTAACCTTGTATTAACTGAAAGAGAACAGATATGATACCATCAGTGTTTTGAGTCTATTAAGTACCTCATCTTTAATTTGGATAAATTTCCGACATTAAAAGCCATTAAAAAACGAATACTTAATGTCTGTTCCAATGTCCTGACAAAATAACTGAGACTAAATTTACTGCATAGAATATTTTTCTAGAACAGAAAATTTATTACTTATTTGCTAGTACACAACTTTAACTTTTTATTTCTGAAACCTGTTAGCAGTAAATAAGATGCCATGCAAAATAACGGGTTGTCGAAATATCGTTCACTATCACGTAGATATTTACTTAAATGAACAAAAAATAAGCAGTCTAACTATGGCCACCTTTTAAAGCACTCGACCCTCAAGTATTATATTCCATAAGCGAGAAACCCATCCCACTTATCAAGTTTTTACTTTATCACTAGTTTAGCTCAGAATAGACCTCACGGTTATAGTTGATAAGTTACATTACATTAAGATCCCCAATAAAAAAACAGTTCATAACATAATTCATCTTTGTCATTATATGGCTCAACGTTTGAGTTTTATTCAGTTAAAATTGATATTATGTGGTCCCAGTACTTTATCGATTACTTTTTTCACCAAAATGTATACATGGTTCACTGAGCATGAACATGGAAAAATTAGACAGTGACTCACTAATGTAGTTCATTGTCTCGTTGTTATTCTTATCCTGGTACACGTTTCTTTCTCTCTCTCTCTCTCTCTCTCTCTCTCTCTCTATATATATATATATATATATATATATATATATATATATGAATAGAATATCTGCCAGTACTATAATTATACGAGAAATAGTTTTAAGATCTTTTCATTTTTTTAGTGCGTAAGTTATTTGGAGAAACATTTTTCACTGTCAAACTTAATTCTTTGTTTGCAAGTGCATCTATAAATGTATATTATGATATGTCCTTTGATAGGCACGTGAATAATTTCTTTTTCATTTTAAACTCCAAGTATCATGCTCCGAGGAAGTATTCTATCCCTCTCCTATTATATTTACACCTTTACCTTTTTCTTTATTTGCCATTTGTGTGTCCATTGTTAATATTGTTGGTATTGTTGTCCTTCATTCTGTGTTGGTACTGTTGTCTTGGCTACGTTAGTAGAATGATAACTTTACATTACTTATTAACAGCACCTAGTTAAGAGATAAGAATGGATTAACATAACGGTTATTAAGTACTAGTTAGCGTATAAATAAAATAAAAATAGATAAATAGATGATATCAACAACTGATTATGTGTATATTTGACAAAAGGTAGTGAAGGAGAAAAGATGGAATTTCTCTCAAAATGAAATTCAAACATTACTTGTTTTCTTTTTTTGACAATCAAGATTGTATATGTGTAGTAAATATTTGACAGATCAACTTATAGATTTCGTTCAGTACACTAATTCGCTTCAATAGTCAACGAGCAGTAGTCAAGATACCTTCAAATATATATATATATATACATAAACATTACACCCTAAGCATAATTGTTGGTGACAGCTGTTGAACCCACTGAATATACATAAATCATTTGGAACTCTTACAAAAAACGATTTCAACGTTTGTATTTACTAAAGACTTGACACGATTGGTTAGTTGATTCCTTCTATTAATTGAGTTTTAGCATCGTTATTTTTATATAGCACAAATTTTTATTTTAATTGTAGCCTTTTTTACTAAAAATATACCGTCAAGATTGAAGGAACACGAATAGTATTGGGTGAATTTGTTAAGTAATGGAATGGAAGAGACAGATCATATGAGATAACCAGGCTTGTCAGTACATCGTGAGTAGAGAATATGACTCACAGACTAATTCACTCAAGACCCATCAAATACAATTGTCGCCTGACAACCGTAGAGAAAGTAATAGTATCGAATGTTGTGTACAATATAGAAAGTCCCATGTCTAAACAGGACATAGTGTTGTAGCCACCTAGCAACAAGCGTTCACAGACAGAGAAGGACTGTGAATAGTTGTGAAGTTATTGTATAAGATTAAGAATAAGATATTCGGTAATGCACAAAGCAAATATTACTACATGAAAACAAAATAGAGCCTATTTTTACCAAAAACGGTTATCTGATATCTTCGGCTTGATTTCTAGTTTGAACAACAGAGTTTCCCGCAAGAAAATCTTGAAATGTACCATCTACAATTTAAAAACGTATACATAAAATACATTTTGTACCGAATAAACAATTTCTCACTGATTATTAAAAATTTCATAAAATGGGAAGATAAACCATAGTTCTATTCTCTATTTGTGAGAAAAATTCATCAAAATCCTTTAAAATCTTACTTGATCAATACATCTTTGATGAGCACTACTAAAATGTTATTGACAGACTTTTTTATTGTTACGACTTATGTTGACGATTTGTCTTCTTTATTATTAAGTTCTATTTTTGTGCAGTGGATTTGCTTGTTTACCGGTCTAAAACAATATATAACAATGGGAGGCTAAATACATTTACCATTAGAGTTTTATCCACTGAAAATAGCTTTATAGTGTGTGAATAACTTTCGGTTTAGTTTTCCGTAATACACACCCAACAATCAGTAATTGATTCGTTGGAGTCTTTATCATACTTGCTACAACATCAAATATTGAAATCAGATAACCGACGGAAGAATATATGAAATGTTTCGATTAGTCTATGTGTTTTCACTTAACATATACGAAGTTTGTTCTTTTTTTTGTAAACGTTTGTTGTTTTTAAACCAGGATAAGTTACGTAAATCACTAGACAGTCTGCTTATTGCAATCAAGGATGGAAGTGAAGTCTATTAGAAAATGATTCTAATGGTATATTACAAATAAACCTAAACTGACATCGAAAAATGAGAACTCACCAAGTGCTTATTTATCATTATTTTTATTAGTTACTTGCTAACTGACAAATAATTTCATATCAAGATCAGTGAGGGTTATATAATGTGTGTAAACTTATTCCATATATTTCCGCCAGAACACGTTTTGGGATGTTGTTCGATTTAGGATTATCTGTATTTTTTTGGAATCTTTAATTTTATTTCCAGTTATACTCATGGCCATCGCGTGCATATCACGTGAAAAATCAATGAATTCAAACGGCTACAATATACACCAGTTTTGTCACATATTGGAATAGTTTTAACCCCATCCCATTATTTTCAACCTAGAAGAATAAGTATGAGAAATCTTTGAGAATCACATCCCAGATAAATGTACTGGAAAATGCTCTAAGTTACTTTTAACATATCAACTGAAGAATTATCAAGAGTCATTATTGAACAAATAGTTCGTTCCGTTTTCGAACAACCAAGCAGTAATCTTTCACAATTCAGTAGTGGAATAAAATTAGAAGCTCTAAATAAAGCGACAACATTACTTCATTGATTTAAAATTCAATTTAAGTTTATTTTAAACAATATATATGTTGTTATCTAGGTAGCAAGTAAAAAATGGTCACGAAAATCAAAGAGTAGAAATATTCCTTAGTTAACAGACATCCTCGCCATTTAGTAGTCCGAAAGTAGTAGCGAATAGATGAAAGCTAGCGAATGTGTACCAGTTCAAGATACCACACTTTATTTGGCAATAACTTTCTGGTTTCTAGTAGTTGTCTAGCTAAAGCAAGTTCGTGATGTACACTTTCTTCAAGAAGTTTCACAAATCTGCAATTTGATCTACAGAGTGATTTGAGAATACACTACATGACAATCAACATTCACAACCGATAAAAAATTTATTTCATCAACAATCCTTAATTAATAAGCTGTAATTTAAAAAGCGTTGTCACCTAACTGTATTTCTGGTCATTAGTTTAGACCTTTAACTATATCATCTAAAAAGGATTTTTCACAAACGATATTCATCGTTTATACATGTAGATTTTCGTAAATTTTTTAAAAATCAGAACAGTGAAAATAACCCAAAATAGACATAAGCGATTTTGAATTGCATAAAATAACTAGGTAAATATAACTTGAAATAAACTGGAAAGAGGTAATAAAAAAATTAAATCTACCATAACAGTGATAAATTGGCCGCTATTCTTTTTTGGAAGCATAAGTTAGCTGTTCGTTTTTTGATAGTGAGGCTTCAACAAAAACAAATAATATTTTCCTATATACTGATTGAGATAGATCAATTTAATTACTAATGATCAGCAACAGGATAATATAAAACCATATGAATAAGCATCATTCTAGTTAAAAAATCTACTGGTTATCTGGGCTCACCTTAGGGCACAGAGCATTGGGACTTGCAGTGATATGCATCGAATTCGAGTCTCAGTGTGAAAATTAACACAGATAAAAGACTATCCAACCAATAAATCCAAAATGAACCGAAACACCTTTTCTGGATCCCGTTGTTAGTTATGATCCGAATATACTAAACAGGAATTTAAATTTTTGTTTACACTTATTTTAAATGAACTGCGATCACTGATAACGTGAGTTATTGAACTGTTAATGAATGGGACAGAATTGGATTTCAATTTATTTTAAAAAATACTCAAAAATACAAACATGTGCCCTTCCCTTTGTTCTTCCAAAATTTATGCTTCATTATACACATATACATTATTATGCTTAATTAGAGGTAATATTTTTTTTATTGAAGTAGTCAGTATATAATTTATCTTTACTAACAGAATACTAATTTTAGATCACTTAACTCAATCAGTTGTTATTAGCAATCATTATTTTATATAGTTTAGATCATGAGTCAGTTGAAGCTAGACCACCATGGAAAACCTGGAAACACTGGACGGCCGTCTCATCCTATTGTGGGACTTTTCTTTTTCTGTTAATTTATATACACTGTTATTTCCATCAAGTGGTTAGAGACTTTGGAAAGAAAACCATGTTCTTACGTTTTATGCCAGTTACCATTTAGCAGCAAGATATTTCTGGAATCTGGATTGATCTGATTTGTTTCATGAGATGATCGATACATCTTTCTAACAAGAACCAATTGGCACGATTTCCTCCAATCTATCAATATAGAATGCAGTACACAACGTGAGTACAATTTGTTGAATATTCTTGTTCACATAACATTTATTTTTTTAGAAACGACTTTGAATTTGAAATATGAAGTCGAAATTTCACTTGTCATCATAATCAGAAAAGTAAATTGAATAAATAACTAAATAAAATTCAGCAACTGAAATTATGTAACAAGATTTGCCAAACAATTTTTTATCTTTCCAAATTAATCAATAAATAAATGAACAAACAGATTTTGTAAATTGTTGCATTTTCCTTTTTTTCAATCGACAGTTACTCTCTATCAGAAAAAAATTTTTTTACTTATTTTCAAATAAGTTAAAAAAATGAAAAAAATTATGACCAGTCCAATGGAAATAAAATGAACTCATTTTGTTACATTTTTGTTACAACTGTTCGTGTCAACATCAATATATGAACCTAAAATGTTGCAACTACAGATCATAATCTATGACAATTATTTATTATTATTTCCCATACTGTTTCTTCCTTTATTTTTCTTCACCCCCTTTCATAATTTTGTTTTTTTTCTCTCAAATATACGTTTCACAGTCCAACTATCTAAACACTTCTTATTAGGTAATCTTATAATTTTTATGAATGTTACTTTTATAATCATGGACCTATTTTCCATTATGTAACATTGATTCAAGCCTTCATTATTGTTATCGCATTTAGTACGCCTGTCATCACACTATCAAGTTGTACTTTACACTTAATATATTTACTTATGTAATCTGTTCCACAGTTATCATCGACACATAAACTGCCTTGATTGGTTTAATAATATCGTATATGTATATAATTATTACTGTATATTAGTGTAAAGCCTGATGAGGATCTAATCAAAAACAGTGCTGTTCGCTTATATATGTTGTTTTGAATGATAATTAGTCAAATATGCAATAATATCAGAAATATTCAGTGATTTTAAGTCAATGAGATTACTACAAGTATATTTTACTAGTTAACTAGTGAATGTATTAGCATGTGGTTTTAAAAATGATTTCTGTTACGTCCCTATAGCCTTTTAATATATCATGTGATAAGATCGCTAATTAGAACACTAACTTATCGACTAGATCAAAGACGTATAAACTAGTACAAGCAGCCTAGAGTCAACTGTGAGTTCTTGTTAGTGCCTCGAAAGAGTAGCTCCTCACCTAACCCAGCCGGTTTAGTCCGCCATATGAATCATGTATTTCAGACATACGCATTTTATATACAAACAAATCAGACCACATCATACCATAAAATAGAAAATAAAAGTTACAAAAGATCAGGTCAAAAGTGGCTCTGAGTGTGAAATATATATACATATAATATATTTACTTAGTAGTAATCCAATAGGAATATATACAATAACAGTCCAATAATAGATCCTAGCAGTTATTATTCACTTATTCTTCTTTCGGATATAATGATTTCATATTACTGGAACTTCGATAACCAAAATTTACCAGAAAAGATAAATCAGTAAGCGGAAAAATTTCAGGATTTCTATGACTGCTAATGTTTTCGGAATCCAATGGTTATCTTTATCACAGACAGATTACTTGTAGAAATATCAGGAAAATCTACCAATGAATTATCCTTTGGAATTAATACAGGATTTCTATGCCTACGATGAGAACTTTCACACTGAGATAATAATATGGAACTAGCAGGATTCTTCGGTAAGATATTAGTAGTCATTACCATTCTGTAAACGTAAACGATAACCTCAGTGCAATAATAAAATGAACTGATACTTGAAATTACTTATTAATTCATTTTTCCCAAGCAGTTATTTGTTGCTTAACTTTTATTAAAATTTTGCGCGCATTCCCAATACGTCAAACGTTATATGATAATATATTGTACTTATCATGATAAATAAGTAGAATTTATATTTAGCTGAAAAGTCAAAAATAATGCTTCGGTAATAAGACAAAACACAAAGTAGACGTTTCAATAGGCAAATACTTTGAATAAAACAGCTGTTATAAGGGAGTATATATATATATATATATAGTTTGTACACAGTCAATTTTTGTGTCTGCAACAACTGCCCTCCTAGGGTTACCAGTCTACAAAACCAGTCTGCACATAAATAGATTTTCTGTCGTTAACTACAATGATTGCTGTTGATGTTATCAATAGCTGGTATTTTGAAAATGATATTATTTAAAACTGCAATGACACTGTTTTCATTTTATTGAATGAATTCACTGTATTAATGACTGTCAAAAGTGATTGATTCGGAAATTCTTAAGTCATTAGTTCAAATCCTGACATTGAACGAGTTTGTTCAAATTGTTTAATGTTTTCCTTTCAAACTATTTTATATTTAAATGATTCTAGGAAAGCAGTTTGCAATTGAGGGAAACTTTAGCTTTGTTATCATACTGTAAAGCAATTCTCGATACACACAACTACATTTACGGAAGTTAATGAAATTATGACTATTGTAACATGTTTACTCAAATGTGATTTTTTAAAATATTCCAAGTTTCGTTCTCTGAGTAACTTAAAGTAATCACATAATTATTCCACAATCATTGCGATTCGGTTTTTAGAAAGAATTGAAGTTAGAATTAAGAGGGGAACTATTCGATATCTTAAAAGTCCATAACCAATCATATTTCAGAATATTATGTTTGAACCGATCATGAGAATATATAACTAAAATCTATCCAGTATTTGAATGGTGATTAGAAATTTTAAGTTCAGTTAGGTTTGCTTAAACCTCTGTACATGAATTAATGGCTACTATGAAAAGTAAGCATGAAAAAGCAAAATCAATTACGCCAATCGGTTTAAAAGTATAGAAACAACATTCGAACTACAGTACATTCAAAGACAAAGCAGAAATGTTTCGGGATTAATATTAAACAATGACTTCAATACAAAGAAAGTTTTGTAAGAATGGTCTCTAAATTGAAATTTTTAAAACGCTTAGTGAATTTTCCCTGTCTTGTGAATATTAGTAGCAGAACCAGGACCTACTTTTTGTGCAATTTGGAGTTTGTCGTAAAGCGTGACCTCAGAACAAATCAGGTATGATCCAAATTTCATTACCTCAGAATTCGGTATCACAACCTGTTATTTCCCTGGCCTTTGCTTTGTGTTGTGACCCTGAATACGATGACACATATTGAGAATACAAAGACTAGTTGTAAGAATTTATTTGACCGTGAAAATGAATTAAGATAACACATGAATATACTAGTTTGCACATTGGTTTTATTCACACTTGATGATTAGTTAACATTTATCACACATAGCAGAAATACACGGAATTACAGTAAAGTTCTCAAGCTACAAGTTTTATGCCTAATTAATGCAAGGCATATTATCTTAAATAAGTGTTATATTAGAATAAATCAGTCTCATACTGAACAAAATAGTACACCGTAAATAAAACGAATACTACACCTAATAATCATCATACTGAGTTAAAACGAAAGTAGTCTTAGACGAAAATCAGTCATTTAAAAACGTAATTTTGCCCTTATATCCTGCAATATCACAATCTCCTCCTGAATACAAGTTAAACTTTTAGGATTCTTAGTGACACACATCTGATTCTAGGTAGATCGTTCACTGCTTGTTATCGACTTATACATATCACCAATCCTCGTATGTAATCATCAACTTAAATCGTGTTAGTGAATAACGGAATTAAATAAGTGAAATACGAGAATGGATTTTCGAATAATTATATTCCATACAACCGTTGATCGGATAGAGAAGCAAAAAAATGATGCCCAACGGAAAGGAAGAGTGAACCAACTCAATTTCGCCAAGAGTGAATCGATATTTATAGTCGAACATAGTGCCAGCCCTTATATATTCAAATGAAATCGTTGGGATGATTGAAAATCACAGGTAATAGACACGAAATTGTTAATTAAACTTCGGAAATCAACTTCACATTGGTACAAAGCTGTTTAAAGTTATCTAGGAATACAATTGCAACCACAGAACTCACCATGTTAAAAATTTAGATGATGATAAAATAAATATATTTTATTTGGTAATCAATAATACTAGCTAAGCAAATTAAGGTGACCATGTACTTATCAGTTTTCGTTTTTACGTTTACAAACCAATCTACAAAGATGTGTTAGCTTTTACATTGATGAGTAAAAAGATGTGGTTCTTCATGGTTTATCGAACACATTTAGAAGAATCTGCATATCAAATAGTCAAATAAGAACATTAAGTGGATGATATGCTATATGTTCAACAAGTGAAACGAAGAATATATAACAATTATATTGATAATAACTGCTAAAATGTATGTTTCTTTCCTAATATATTTTGATGAAACTGCTTCATATGTATCCAATGACAGTTATTAAATTTTATCTAGCCGTCTTGATAGTACAATGCAGTTAACTACTTCCCTCATTTTACACCTACCATTAATCAAATTCAACATAAATTTCATCTCCTATTCTCATCACTACTCCATTAATGGTAGTATCATAGTAAATTTATTTACGAACTTATTTCTGGCATATAACTCCTCCTTTAGCCCCTCCGGGGGCCACTGCCGGTCCCAAGCCCGGATAGAGTAGGTGGGTTAGGTATGGGGTTAGCAAGCCGATCCCGTAGAAAACTAACCCGCTAAAACAACGCTAACCAGGAAAAATATTTCCAGCATATAGGAAATGTAAATAAATTTGAGTTTTCCCTCCAAATTTTTACAGTTTAAGCAACAATAAGGTTCACATACCAAGCAATTTACTGTTCTCTGATGAAAATCTGAATTCTTAATTTTCAAGTGTGCTATGATCTGATTATATTCTGAAACATATAACAGAAAATAATCCAATGAAATAAAGTGAACTTTTACCAATGAGCTAGTTGAACTTTGCTAGTAAGATCGCCTAAAATAACTATTAAAATGACACTAAAATTTCTTTGAACGACTTTCATGTTCTTAAGTTAACACTTGGTTCCCATTCATGTTGCATTGTTTATTTGAACATTACTATTGATGTTTGGGACTGCAATTGATCAGTCTCTTATTAGCATAAGTACATCCTGTGTTGATTGCTTCGATACTGACTGAAGACACAAGCATTATGAGCAAAGTAGCTATCAGCACTTAATAGCCAAGTGCATAATGTGAAGACTATTGAAGTGGATGATACTGCGTTGGAGTCCCGGAGTGAACATCAAGTCTGGGATGTAGGTACATCCAGCTGACGAGTCCCAAATAGGCCGAAACGCGCCTCCTGGATTCCACTGCTAGCCACCATCCATCTTTACTTATAATTGATTAAAATATATGTTTTTTAAATTTTATATTTCTATCTACACTTGCCTGGCTTATTCGTTATAGATAGAGAACCAATAATGATAGCATTTTACATTTACATCGTACAACCATTTAAAATCTGGGAACACTGAACAGTTGTTTTTCACCGTCTCTGAATTGAAAGAACCACAAGAAACCACCCAGCTAAATAGTAAATGAAAGAGCTAATTCGTCTGCAATTAGTAATCAATTCAGTCATTTATTTTGTAAGGCTTAATCCAGTAAACGAAAGTGTCCACTAAATATATACTACTTAATTATAATAAGTAATTGTCTAAGAATAAAAACTTTCTCACGATTTATAAAGCCCTTACTTATAAATACACAAGTGTGTCATTTCTATTTTCCTGTGTGGTAATTAATTATCAAATAAGATAAATTGATATTCTACCAATACCATGGATAAACAGATAGATCTACCACTAGACAATTTAATTTTCACTTGTAATTTATTATTATTTATCTTATTTCTGTATTTAATGCATAATTTATCATTTTCTAAAGTTATAGTTAAATGGAACATTTTTGTAAACCCAAATCTAATTTATTTGTTAACCCTTATCTTCTAAGAATACGTGATTGAAAGAACTGTGTTGAACATAAAACCATACCTAATATTTAAGACAAAGCTTGGGAATTAGGATTACTATCACTATAGTAATAATAGACAATATGAGAAGGAATGTTATTATTGAAAATGAATAATCATTTTTATAGATTGTTTTTTCCCCACATGATTTTTACGAAATTTATTGATTATAAAGAAATAAATTATGTTTTACATGGAAAAAAATAGGTTAACACCAAGTTCGTTCTTTGTTCAATATTGGTCATGCTTTGATTAACATAACGAAAATCGTCCTTTCAATTGTTTAACAAAAATTGTAATGGAAAACATCAACCAACCAGTAATAACTAATAATCCTATTTAGTTATTCAACACTAATTTCTATTTCACACGTTATGTTTACTACTGTACAATTTACATCGTTCAACCTAAAATAGTCATTGTATATCATTCTATATCATAGTAAGAAGAAAATCGTATATCAGTAGTAAGTGATTTCCTAAAGAGTGATTTATACAAATATTTTAGTAAACACTTAACTTCAATTAGGTTCATCTGGTATAGTAGTCTTTAAGATGCCTAAAATAATTGTTATATTTGTTGTACCAGTTCATGAAATTTCCATGAAATTTATTTTAGTATCCGCCTGTTTGTTAACAATAGCTTGCTTTTTATATACGATAAACCCTGTTGCGTTCATTAAGAAGTATATGTATGATACAAGGAAGTCGGCGATATCAACTGTTCGAAAGTAATCTTTATACATGAAATTACAATTCAACGGGGATGTAGCTAGTGATACTCTGAAAGATAGGTTAACAAAAGTGATTATTAGGACTTCCTACGCAGCCACATTGGCCAATTATTGTACAAATGTTATTTTCTATTTTATGGTACGATGTGGTCTGTTTGGTTGGTATATAAACTCAGTATGTTTGTGAATCATGATTCATACCACAAAGGCTGTTATTAGTGTTTTGGACTTAACTGCCTGGGCTAGGCAGAAGCAGGACCGGTTAGCGCTCTAGACTGCTCGTACAGTTTCGTGTGTCACTATTCCGATCGATAATTCGCTGCTTCCTGTTTAGCGGTCTCATCACGTCATACATTAAACGGGAATCCACTCGGCCACAAGATATAATGATCAAACTATTTTATTGTTCATTTTATTTAAGAAAATTCACTCTCGTTGTATTTGAAACGTAAAAGATTTGAGGATAACATTAATATTTTGAAGGTGATTCAAGTCATTATTTGTTACTGACTGTAAACTTATGTCACATTATAATTTTTAACCTAAACTTTTCTCGATACTAATAGTGATCATCTTGTTTGCTTTCTTTCAAGCTTGCATCTACCTTAAACGGATTTGTTGTTGACCATGTATATAATTGAGGGTTCGTTTAGCAGAAAAAATAATGTGGTTTACAAATCACAACAGGAATGACTTTATCATTGGTCATAATTACGATTTAATTTACTTTACTAACAATCCAATCTACATCGTTGAGATACATGTATTTTCTAATTATTTTGCTTTAATTAGGCCAAGGTCATTACTATTTATCTAAAGCATTTAGACGAGAGCGACAATTAACAATAATAATAATAATAATAATAATAATAATAATAATAATAATAATAATAATAATGTCCATTCTGTAAAGTGATTGGCTGACTTGCTAAACCAATCAAATTTCCTACAACTCGCGTGCACGTGTAACCTGTTTTAGGTTTTGAAAATAACTAATTATCAAAATATACTCGACCCTATTGTAGTAGTTTCATTCATCTATCTACATAGACTGAAATTTATGAACCATTTTACACAATTCCTATTACATATATAATCATGAATGGGAGAAACTTAATATTTCAGTGATTTGTTTCTAGTATTCAGAATTATCAAGTTTTATTAATTAGTTCAATATGCTTTAGTCTATGTATCATCAAAAATTAAAGGAAGTAATACTTGATTTTCGTATGTATATAACAAGTTAACCAGTTTTACATTGAAATTCAATATGGTTTACGAGAATGGAACGAATTGTGATAAATTATGGCGTGCATGGAACACAATATTAATCACAGTGTTACATATATTTCTCATATATGTTGGAATTAATCGTTATTTAGCTTTTAAGACACAAGCATTTGATGCTAAATTTGGTGGTGCTTGGGATCAGTCATGTATGAATTTCACTTTGGCAATGCTTATCACAACATTGACATGTTTCTGTTTATTTCTTTTCTGCAGTTTGATACGTACAACAAATTATGCTAACGAAGGAACTCAGATTGGTAGAGATACAAACAATTTACATTTATTAAGTTCTACATGTGCTTGGAAATCTGAACTACCTATGATGAAGTTAACTTCAATGACAGATCATCAAAATTATATGTATCTTAACTCAACAAACGGTAACGGGAATATGATGAAAACATTAAGTCGAAATGGTTACAATCCAGGTGATGATGATCATGCTTCAGCTATCGGACCAGATGATGTTCTACCTGGTCCTAATTATGACACATGGTCAGGACGTAGTGGAGTTAATCAAAATTTATTCAACTCTTATGCAACTAACAATCCTAATAATACATCTACTAGCCAACGTTTAATTAATAATGATAATTATTTGCATTTATCTTTTAAACGTAGCTTTGACTTATTATGGCAACGATTTAAAAGGAACTTTTTACCATATTGTGTTGTTTTTCATTTGATTATGGCTTATTGTCTATACATACCAATACCTTTAATGCAATCACAACAAATATATCATCGAGCATTGCCTGTCAGTAAGTAAAAAATAACTATTTCTATATATTTTTTCTGTAAACTATTTTTTTATCTAACTTGCACCGTGATTATAAATCTTTGCAGTATATTTAATCCTATCTATCATGAAACACTCAAATCCTCAGTCTTTATTTATCACATGAATAAAAACTTATTTTCTTCTGAAAAAGTATGATCAAGCAATTTATTATAGGTCCACCACCTTTTATGAAAATTCATTGCATAAACACCAATGTATATCATAGAGACCCTAATGTATTATCAAGAAAAAGTCTATATTAAAATGAATTTCGATATTATCAAAACGCATAGTGTTCGGTATTTATAAACTCATTAAATTTTGAGTGCTGTTAGAGGTATAAAGTCGGTTATCACTTCCCGGTTGCTCACACCATGGAAGGGTTCTTATTAGACGTACCTGAAAAGGAAATTGGACTAGAAGTGGTCTTAATGACCTGAGAACGTGACCTCAGTGTCCAAGGGACAACTGCATGAGGTCGGTAATTTTTGTGTTAGCTCCGTACTTGTTGGGACCTTACCGCCACAAACGGATGTCCGTGGGATAAGGCGAGGTGTGCATTTTTAGCGTCGACCTTTTCTAACCTCACCCCTCCTTGTGAGAAGTCAGCATCGCTGTTATTCTGGTTGTCTGAAGGAAACAACTTACTGCCGCCACACCTCTGTACAGCCAGCAGTATGAATTCGGATCTTGGGTTTGCTGATTTTGGTCTTTCCGCTTTTCAACCTTGAGGACCTTGAGGAACGATTGTTCCAGCCAATGCAGTTCGATTGGTTCATCACGATAGGCAAGCCTGATCACCACGTCAAGGTAGCAGCAACGGTCGGGATTTCACTAAATATAGTTATTTGAAATTCACCAAGATAAAACAGATTAGATTGTTTGCTGACTGTTAACATAGAAATTTAGGATCGTCTTTTTCTCTGTTGAAAAACCTTTCACATTTCTGTGTCTTTTTACAGAGGGTCTTTTTTATCACCTCAATTGACATGCTGTGTTATTAAATTATTTAACGAAGATTCTATAATTTCACTATTGTCTGAAGTTTTCCATTATTTTCCTTTAAAGATCATTCTATTAATCACCTAAATTTTAATATTACTTTTCAAATCATATTTATTTTTACCTCACATGGCACACTGTATCCCCCAGACACAATATCATTATCTCTTCTCTCATACAGAAGAACTATAGAGTAATACAGTTGATTTATGAGTTTTGTGATCTGTTTATATCATGTCATTTAACTTAAAAATATTCCAAAAACTTAGAATATAAGAAGAAAATCTAGTTGAAAGTCTTATTTACTCAATAACACATCTGATAGATTTCTTTGGTTGTTCTTTTCAAATCCTATGATTAAAACAAAAATAGTAAATATTCATTTATTTTCTGAAGTTCGAATCATTTATAATAAAACTTGATTTTCAGTACACTGAAACCTGACCTGGAGATATGTTATGCTCTCATAGAATTATATTATCAGAATTACATGAATTCTTCAATGTTATTAGCAGCATTTCTCTTGACTGGTTTAGTAGTAACAGTAAAGGTTTTCAAGTTAAATGTTCTATGCGTTGAACCTTAAGTGTTACACCAGTTGTTCAATAAATGGATGACCCGATTGCCTATAAACAGTCGATTGTCACCAATGCAAATGTAATAATCTTAATAGTCGCATCATCAATTTATTTTAACAAAAATGAGGTCACTTAAAACACTTTGACATTTGAAGATCTTTATTGTTTCAGCAAATAAACATGACAACCTAATGCTTTTTATTACCTAAAAATGTTAAATTCACTACCTTAGTTGACCTTGAAAGGTAAATAAACATTTCATATGACAATAATAAGCACATAAAACTGCTTGTATAGCTCTTTATTTTTGTGTAGGAGAAGTTAACACTTGGAAAACATTTATTTATTTTTTAGACCTATTAAACTATATGAATAACGGCATTCAATATATCAGTTGGTAAATATATGTCATGTTGGATTAGTGTACTTTTGCTTGATACTAAAAAAAATCGACTTTTAGTGGGAAGAGAGATATTCCTGATTTCAATTATTTAAATACAATATTTATCAATTGATTGCACTGCTGTACTTGTGATGATCATGTTTAAATAAGTGATTCAGAAGTGTGCATCCACGATCCCACACGTGGGACTCGAACCCAGGACCTATTGTCCTGAGTTGGCATCCAACATTGTTGATGTCTATTTTAAATCGATCCATGATCTTACGCAAACTTTCACCCATTGTCTGAGGTGGATGACTGTCTCACACCCGACGCGGATTGAACTCCACTGGTCACGGTTTCTCAATAGAACTCTAGGAAATCTATATTGAAGCTGGTCACTAGTGAGCACATGATCGTTATAAGTATAGGGGTTTCTATATAAAGGTTTCTATTATTAGCCGTTATCAAGTTTTGTTTTGGCTATTGCCTAGTTGCAAAATAGCTCAATCAGTAGTTACTGCACAAACGAGTAGAGTTTCTGAGAAGTTTTCACCTGGATATTCATAATTTATCAATATTCCGAATTAAAAAATGTTTGTGTAAAATAAACTAATACTAATTATACTAGCCTCTTGATAGTAGCCATATTCATCACTTATACAACGACTAGAGGCGATTTCAACATGAAGTTCTTCACAGTGATGTCACTGTTTCATTAGTGAACAGGCCACCATGTGAGTTCAAGTTGTCTCTACATATGCATTTAAAATAACAGCTAGTCATAAATCTTGCAATTTATCCAACGATTGCTTTTGGCCAGCAGTGAATCCCTATCTTTTGTCAATGACCAATGAGCTATGGGCTTGATTCTGTTTGGTAGAATTTGTAATCTAGCTTTGATGAAAACTCATTCAAAAATATCTTATTACACAGTTTAGAATCCTTTTTTAGTTTATCTAAGATGTTATAAAAATACAATTCTTATAAGTTAGCGAGTGTTTGACTGTGACTTTCAGTACAAGTTGATATTTGTAGAATAGTGACTTAAAACCAATGAGTTCATTCTACGTGTCTCATTTTATCATGAGGATTCATTATCAGTCAGCGAGTAAAGCTATTATCATGTGCAAACTAAGAGTCCTAAGATATTTCAGATAACATTTGTTCTGTGAAGGTTAAGACACATTAGATAATTTACAGCCATCAAAGGTAATTAATATTGAACAGTCTTAAGATAAGGTAAAACAACCTTCCCATTAGTTTTGCAGTTATCAACCTGTAATTCCAATCTTCTAAAAATATATAAAAGACCTCATATTATGGATAACATTTGTTAAAATGAACAAATAAAGATTAAAAAATCTAAATATGATATAGTTTTTAAATCTTTGTGATTTGAAAAAAACTATCTGTTTACTATAAATGTACCACCTAGTAGTGACCAAATGAGAGTTTTAAAAAATTGTTAGTCATGAGCAAACAATAAACATCTGTCGGCAACCTAACATTTCACAAATTCGTTTTGAAATTTCATTTCTTTATTGACTGAAAAGAGATATGTGTTAGTAGTTTGTTTATCAACGAAAAACGAATGTAATACAGGAAAGATTATATATAGACTCTCTTGCAATAGGTAAACGGTTATTAATCAAATCCTGTAATTCTAAAAGTTTAATTTCTAAAATAATGAAGATATTCAGCTAAGAATAAGGATTACGTTGTTGTGGTAGTTTAAACATCTAACACAAAAAAATAATGTGAAAATCACATGCCATAGTTAGGGGAAGTTCATTTCAAAGACACTATTTTCATTATGATTCTTTAGATCCTTCAAATCTTACAACTGAAAAGAATACGGGACCAGAACTGCATATTTATTAGAAATCAGGGTTACTGAGTTCTGAAGTTGTTGTGTTACATTATGAACTTCACCTCATTAACTTTATTAATAAAATGTTTTATAATCCACATCCCTGATTAGTTAATAAATAAAATCAAAGTGCGTCTACTTCAGAAGTTTTGCACTACGCGGTTGTTATGTATTTTTATGTTCCTTTATCAATTAGATGATGTAGTAATTCACGCCTTTGTTCAAGAATGAACAGGTTTATGACTATTTTTAAAGAAATCTAGAAATGATTTACGAAATAATATCTTGCTCATAAATTTATCTGGTAAAGAGTTTGATTTGTTACTTAGATTTCAATTTTACCATCATCCACAAGCTCTTGACAATAGAATGGAATACGGACATCTTGAGCTCATTCTACACTCCAAATCAGCATGAAGCAATTGATCAATAAGTTGGTGTTAAATAATGCCTTTAGAATCTTCAGTACTGACAATCATTGACTCCATGCAAGACATAATTCAAAACTAAAACATTTGGTACTCAATTTGTTACAGTTAATTAAGTTTATCAAAATCCATCTGTTTGATTTTCCTCAAAATTTCTGAAACTGTATACATTTATTTGCTTGGTATTTATCCTTAACTTTCAGTGATTTTCTACTTGGAAGTAAATAATTACAGTTTGAATGATTTCAATTAAGTCATTTCACAGGATATATAAAACAGAATTGAAATTTTAACTTGTTTAGGAATCTTGGTTTATAGGTGTCCAATTAAAGCATTTTCATTGTAATTCGCAGGCCACTGATCCAACTCTGCCCATCGAACACCATTTTTAACATTTTTCAAAATCAGTTATACATTAGGAAAAAAATTATTTAGCGAAAGCGTTAAAACTATAACTAACCGTTTTAGATTGTTTATAGTTTCTTTAGTTATGCAAATTACATCATTTTGGAAACTTTCGAGCTGATATGTTTTTCTTCATGTACAAACAGTTGGTAAAAAACGCTAAATGAAAATTTTATTTACGACAAAAAGTTTATGTCTTTCTGCTGATATCACTTGATTATTGGAAGAAAGTATGTCAACAACAATTCACTCATATTTGACAGTAACTCCATTCAGTAATATGTGTTCCCATATAGAAATAGTAAATATCAA